ATTTCTCGAATGATCAGTGATAGTGAACATTTCTTCATGTATTTATATGCCATTTGTTATCTTCATCTGAGAACTGTGTGTTCACCTCAGATGCCCATTTTTGGTGCGGGTCTTTGAATTTGGGGGGATTGATGTTTTTCAGTTCTTTATGTATTCTAGATATATGTCCTTTGTCTGAGGGGTTGCTGGCTAAAATTCTTTCCCATTCTGTGGGTTTTCTTTTCACTCTGTTGGTGATTTCTTTTGAAGTGCAGAAACTTTTCAATAATATGAGATCCCAATTGTTGATTCTTTGAAGTGTTTCCCGGGCAGTTTGCATTTTGTCCATGAATTCTGTGCCTATTCCTATGTCTCCAAGACTTCTACCTAACTTGTCTTCCAGGAGATTTAGTGTTTCTCTTTTTAATATTTAGATCTTTGATCCATTTAGACTTTAGTTTTGTGCATGGTAATAGGCATGGATCTAGTTTTAGTGTTTAGCATGTGAAGAGCCAATTTTTCCAACACCATTTATTAGAGAGGCTATCCTTCTTCCAATGAACATGTTTAGTCCCTTTGTCAAATATCAGGTGGTTGAGTGTCTTTGTAGTTGTGCTTGCATCTTCTAATCTGGTCCATTGATCCTCAGGTCTTATTTCTTTGCCAGTACCATGCTGATTTTTGTCACTATGGCTTTGTAGTATAGTTTCAAGTCAGGAATTGAGATGCTTCCTGCCTTGCCTTTGTTGCCCAAAATTGCCATTGCTATTCTGGGTTTCTTCTGTTTGCAAAGGAGTGGTTTCTCTAGATCTGTGAGATATGTTAATGGTATTTTGATTGGGATTGCATTAAATCTGCATATCAGTTTTGGGAGTATGGTCATTTTCACAATGTTGGTTGTTTCTAGCCAAGAGCAAGGAATATCCTTCCATTTTCTAATATCCTCTTCAATCTCATTTTTTAGTGTAGCATAATTTTCAGCATATATGTCTTCTACATTCTTAGGTTGATTCCTAAGTATTTCAGTTTTTTAGATGCTATTGTGAGGGGTGATATTTTCATAATTTCTCTCTTGGAGTTTTTTGTTTGTGTACAGGAATGCTTTTGAATTTCGAGCATTGACTTTGTATCCAGCTACACTGCTGAATTTCTTTATTACCTCAAGTAGTCTTCTAATGGAGTTTTTTTGACTCTTCTATGTAGAGTGTCATGTCATCTGCAAATAGTGATAATTTAACTTCTTCCTTTCCTATCTTTATTCCTTTTATTTCTCTCTCATGTCTGATTGCCCCGGCTAGTGTTTCCAGAACTATATTGAACAGGAGTGGTTAGTGGATATCTTTATCTTGTTCCTGATTTTAAAGTGAAAGATTTCAGTTTTTGTCCATTTAGTATAATGTTGGCTGTTGGTGTGTCATAGATGGCCTTTATAAGATTGAGGTAGGCACTGTGTATTCCGAGTGTCTGAAGAAATTTTATCATGAACATATGTTAGACTTTATCGAAGGCTTTTTCTGCATCTATTGAGATGACCATGTGGGGTTTTTCTTTTTGGCTCTGTTGACATAGTGTATTACATTTATTGATTTGCATATGTTAAACCATCCCTGCATTCCTGGGATGATTCCCACTTGGTCATGATGTATAATCTTCTTGATGATTTGCTGCATTCCATTTGCCAGTATTTTATTGAGAATCTTTGCATCAATGTTCGTTAGTTAGATTGCCTATAGTTCTCCTTTTTGATTGAGTCTTTCTCTGGTTTTGGTATCAGGGTAATACTTGCCCCCAGGAATGATTTAGGGAGGATTGCTTCCTTTTCAATTTCATTGAAGAGTTTAAGGAGTATTGGCATCATATATTCTCCAAATTTCTTGTTGAATTTAGCCATGAATCCATCAGGACCTGGGCTTTTCTTTATTGGTAAGTTTTTAATTATGTTTTCAATTTCAGTAGTGGATATTGAGTTATTTAAATTGCTATATCTTCTTGGTTGAGCTTTGGTAGTTCATATGTTTCTAGAAATCTGTCCATTTCTTCTGTGTTTTCCACTCTACGTGAATAGAGATTTTCAAAGTAGGTATTCATGATGTTTTGAATTTCCATGGAATCTGTAGTAATTTCTCCCTTTTGAGCCCTTATTGTGTGAATTTGGGTTTTTTCTTTCTTTTTCTTTATGAGGTTAGCTAGAGGTTTGTCAATTTTGTTTATTCTCTCAAAAAACCAGCTTTTTGATTCATTAATTCTTTGTATTTTTTGTTTCCATTGCATTGATTTCTGCTCTAATCTTTACAATTTCCTCTCTTCTATGAGCTTTGGGTTTAATTTGCTTTTCTTTTTCTAGAAGCTTGAGATGAAGCTGTAGGTTGTTTATTTGTGCTCATTCTGTTTTCTTGGTATGACAGTTTATTGCTATGTATTTCCCTCTTAGGATTGCTTTCATTTCATCCCACAGGTTACAGTATGTTGTTTCCACATTTTCTTTTCTTTCTTTTTTTTTTTTTACACTTTTTTTCTTCTTTTTTCTTTTTATCGGTACTGGGGATCGAACTCACGACTGCCTGCTTGCTAGGCAGGTGCTTATGCTGCTGAGCTAAATCCCCAGCCCCTCCACATTTTCACTGAATTGTAGGTATTGCTTTATTTCTTCTTTAATTTCATCTGTAGCGCATTGGTTGTTCAAGAGATTGTTATTTAATTTCCATGTATTTATGCAGGTTTTACAGGTTTTTTGCCATTAATTTCCAATTTTAGTGCGCTATGGTCAGATAATACACATGGGATAATTTCAATACCAGTTACTTAAGAATGTTTTATGAGATAATATATGGTCTATTTTGGAGAATGTCCCATGCGCAGCTGCTAAGAATATGTATTTTGATGTGGTTGGGTGGAACACTCTGTAAACATCTACTAAGTCCAATTGCTCACAGGTATGATTCAGTTCTATTATTTCTTAGCTGGCTTTTTGTCTAGTTGATCTATCTCTTTGTGACAATGGGATGTTATAATTGTGTTCTTGTATATTTGGTTTTTTATGTCCATTAGTATCTGTCTTATATAGTTGGGTGCCTCTGTATTTGGTGCATATATATTTATAATTATTAGTTCTTCCTCTTGAAATTTTCCACTAATGAAAAATGGAGTGAACTTCTTTATCTCTTTTAATCATTTTATGTTTGCAGTTCACATTGTCTGCAAATAGAATAGCTACCCCTGCTTTTTTCTGGGTTCCTGTTGCATGGATGTTTTCCATCCTTTGACTTTTAATTATGAGTTTCCTTTTGAGTCAGATGTGTTTCTTGTATACAGCATGAGTGGGATCATGTTTCTTGATCCATTTTGTCAGCCTATTTCTTTTGATAGGTGAATTGAGCGGATTTACATTTATGGATATCACTGATATGTACTGGCTCAACTTTGCCATGTTATGTTCCACTTGTTTGCTTTCTGCTTTTGCCCTTGTTTGATTGCTTGTCCTACCTGGTGGTTTCTTTCTGTTGTTGTTTTGAGGATTGTGGTCAGTTTTATCTCTATCTAGCATGTCTTTCACTATTGTTTCTGGGGTTGGCTTGGTGGATATGAATTTCATCAGTTGTTCTTTGTCATGAAAGTGTCTTGTTTCTCCATTAAATTTGAATGAAAGTTTTTCTGGGTACATCAGTCTGGGTTGAAAGTTGTTTTCTTTCAGGGCTTGAAATACCTCACTTCAAGCTCGTCTTTGCTTCAGGGTTTGTGCTGAAAATTTGCTGTGATTCTTACGGGCTTTCCTTGATAGGCGAGTTGTGTCTTTTCTCAAACAGCTTTTAGTATTCTGTTTTTATGCTGTATGTCTCAGACCTGAATTATTATATATCTGGGTGTAGATTTATGTTGGTTGTGACTGTTTGGCATTCTACATGCCTCACTTATCTGCATATCAGATTTTTCCCCCATGTTTGGGAAATTTCCTTCTATTCTGTGAATATTTTGGTTATGTAATTTGCATTGACTCCTGCATCTCCACTAATGATTATTAATCTTATTTTTTCTACTGGCATCCTCTTGAAGCTGCTGGATTGTCATTTCATGCTGCTTTGTTATTTTTAAAAGTTCTTTCATGATCACTAATTGTGATCCTGTCCTCAAGGTCCAAAATCCTATCCTCAGCTTCATTTGAATGATTTTACTATTTTTGAATAGATTTGTTTTGTTTCTTGGATGTCTCTTTAAGTTTGTTTCATGAATTCTGCATATTTTCTATATTGTTCATTCAAGGTTTCAATCAGTTTCCCATGCTCCTGTACTTTTTTCTCTATTCTTTTCTTTAGCTGTGCTCAGCAACTTCTTTACTAAGGATGTTATTTTCATCTTTACATGGGAGAGTACTTCTAATTTAATTTCCTCTATAACCTCATGAAGCTGTTTTTTTTAAATTTCATTCTCTATCTTCTCAGAGATTTCTGGTATTTTACTTTTGAATTCCTCTATTTCAGTGTCTCCTGTACTTGCTCCTGGTGGACTAGATGTTTGAGATTGCATTTTGCTTTTTTGTTTTACCATTTTCCCCTTTCGAGTTAATATTTGGTCCTTCAATCCCACTAGTGTCAACTGTTGGTGTTGTATATCTTGGGGTCCTAATATAAGGTTGATGTTTGTCCAATTGCTGGGTCCCACAATGAACAGGTGGACCAGTCACCTGACTTCCCACTGCAGGGCCTTGGATGAACTGCATTCACATGTGATTGAGGACCAAGTTGTGGAATTAAGATTTGTAGGATGCAGTCTCTATTCAGCTGTTTTGTTCTGTTTTGCCTTGCTTTGCTTTGTTGAGACAGGCTCTGAGTATGTAATTTAGCTGACCTTGAACTCACTGAGGAGCTCACACTACTCTTGAATTCCTGTAAATCCTCTTGCCTCAGCCTCCTGAATACAGTTATGCACCATCACACTTGGCTCTCAATTGAACTGTGAGGTGATTTGAGATATCCCAGGCTGTGATTCTCAGTCTTCCTTTGAAAATTGTATGTCTTGTGCTTTAGGAGGCAGTGACGTTTGAGGATGTGGCTCTGAACTTCAGCAGTGAGGAGTGGGCTCTCTTGAGTCTGTCCCAAAAGGAGCTCTACCGAGAGGTGATGGAAGAGACCTTTAAGAACATGGCTGCTATAGGTAAGGAGGACGTCTCTTTCTTAGTTATACTCTCAGAAAATATTGTTGGTTGCTCATAATTACTGTTTTTATTAAAAAGAATGTGAAAACATTTTGAAGAATAGCTTAGGTTTGGTTCTATTATATCATGAATCTAATGGAAATTTATTAATGTATATTCTATGTATTATTATACCGAGTCCTTATATATCTCTGTCTGCAATTCAGGAAGAGCTGAAGACAACCAAGAAGTTGAAACAGAATACAGAAATTCCTGGAGACATCTAAGGTAATTTTTATTCCCAAAGACAAAGAATGTGTTCCAGAGTCAGTGCATGAGCAGAAACATGACAACCAAGGAAATGAGGCAAAGTTCTATTTAATGTCAATTATATTCCCCCAAGATATAGAGGATGCATCCAGACTGAATGTGTATAACCTTATAATAGAATCATCAAAATGTCTAAAATTGCCTTTAGATATTGTATATTGATGTATATGAAAAGAATAAACTTTGAATTTTGGCAGGAATCTACCTGTATGATATCTACTTATGTATCCATGTCAATATAGCACATTCAGTATCTAAAAGTTGCTAACCTTGGGGCAGTACAAAGTATAAATGAATTCTAGTGTTTCAATACATTTTTCAAGCCAATCTCTAAATTGAGTCCATTGTGATTTAAGATTCCTAGTCGATTGACAGTACACAGATGTCTCTAAAGGACATACTTCCCCCGGGTATATTGTCAAAAGCGTCAAAATTCTCATTTTGTATGCATGCATGCATGCCCATACTCAATGCACCTCAACTTATTATTAGGAAGCCCTTGAATAAGCTTAGACATCTGTCACTGGATGCATGGATAAGGGAAATTGTTGTTAGGCTTCCTGTGATTGTGCATCCTGTAAACCCAGCAGTCTGGGAGGCAGAATCTTCAGAATGGCAAGTTGAAACTGTGCCTGAACAATTTTATCACCAATGAGAATGTCTCAAAATAAGAAATAATAAGATAGAGATTTTGTGCTAAGACCTGGGTTTCATTCCAGCACTGAAAAGAAAAAGAAAATGTGCTATAAAATCAGCCCAAAAGATACATAGAAAAATCAAGAAAAAATTGCAAATGTCACCTGGTTTCTCTTGTATGACACGGCTGGGGGTTTAGCGCATGGGCGTAAGTGCCTGCTTGGCAAATGTGAGGTCATGAGTTCAATTCCTCATATAAAAAATTTTTTTGCACAAAAATTTCAAACTCTTTTATGAGAAACCAAAAATTCTAAATTGGTAAAATAAAGGAAAATTGATAGAGAAAGAAAGACTGACTTGCTGCCAATGGGAAAGACAAGCAGAATAAGGACAGAAGGGAGAGATGTTGAGGAAAATGGTTTCAAAATGATTAACATACAGTATAGATGAGTACTCTGTACTGAAAAGGAAGATAAGACATGTGTTTCAGATTATAACAACTTTAAAATTGTGAAGTGAACACCAGTGTTTTTGGCAGTGGTTTTTTGAGTGTATCCTAAAGGCACTCAGTTAATTGATTGTCAACATTTCTTAGCAGGCATCAAAACAGAACTTATTTTTGTAAAACATTCATATGAAAACCCATTCTTTGTGACATTTTGCTTTACAGAAATGAGGATTTAGAGAAATGCTATCAACATACATCTTGGAATCAGTATAAAGAAGTATTCCCCTGTATTCCAGATGCTAAAAAGGATGTGAAAGAAACAGACACACACAGTGATGCTCAGATCCATGAAGGAAATCACACTGGAGGGGAACCCTATGTATGTAAGCAGTGTGGGAAAGCTTTCAACACAGGCAAATCTTGTCAAATACATGAAAGAACACACTCAGGGGAGAAACCCTATATATGTACGCAATGTGGGAAAGCTTTTGGGAGCAAGTCTCATTGTCGAAGACATGAAAGAACTCACACTGTGGGGGTACCTTATGTATGTAAGCAGTGTGGGAAAGCTTTCAACAGATTCAGTGAATGTAAAACACATGAAAAAATTCATAAAGGGGAGAAATATGTATGTAAGCAGTGTGGGAAAGCTTTCAATACACTTGGATCTTATCAGAAACATGAAAGAATTCACACTGGGGAGAAACCCTATCTATGTAAGCAGTGTGGGAAAGCTTTTAGCACACACACATCTTGTCGAACCCATGAAAGAACACACTCAGGGGAGAAACCCTATCTATGTAAGCAGTGTGGGAAAGCTTTCAGCAGAAACACTCATTGTCGAAGACATGAAAGAACTCACACTGGGGAGAAGCCTTATGTATGTAAGCAGTGTGGAAAAGCTTTCACCACACAGAGATCCTGTCAACAGCATGAAAGATTTCATACTGGGGAGAAACCCTATCTATGTAAGCAATGTGGGAAAGCGTTTACCACGCATGGAAATTGTCAACAACATGAAAGAATTCACTCTGGAGAGAAACCCTTTATATGTAAGCATTGTGGCAAAGACTTTACCACACGTGGATCTTGTCAAATCCATGAAAGAATTCACACTGGAGAGAAACCCTATGTATGTAAGCACTGTAAGAAAGGATTCATCACACGTGCATATTGTCAAATGCATGAAAGACTTCACACTGGGGAAAAGCCTTATGTATGTAAGCAGTGTGGCAAAGCTTTTACCACTAACAATTCTTGTCAAATACATCAAAGAACACACACTGGGGAGAGACCATATATATGTAAGCATTGTGGGAAAGCTTTTGGGACAAAACGTCATCGTAGGTCACATGAGAGAGTTCACACTGGAGAGAAACCTTATGTATGTAAGCAATGTGGCAAAGCTTTTATTGCTCACAACTCTTGTCAAATACATGAAAGAACACACACTGGAGAGAAACCGTATATATGTAAGCATTGTGGGAAAGCTTTTAGCACAAAGAGATATTGTCACATACATGAAAGAATTCATACTGGGGAGAAACCTTATGTATGTAAGCAGTGTGGGAAAGCTTTTACCACACATGAATATTGTCAAATACATGAAAGACTTCACACTGGGGAGAAACCCTATGTATGTAAGCAATGTGGAAAAGCTTTTACTACTCACAACTCTTGTCAAATACATGAAAGAACACACACTGGAGAGAAACCATATATATGTAAGCAATGTGGGAAAGCTTTTGGCACAAAACGTTATTGTCAAGTACATGAAAGAACACACACTGGGGAGAAACCCTATGTATGTAAGCACTGTGGGAAAGCTTTTGGCACAAAACGTGATTGTCAAGTACATGAAAGAATTCATACTGGGGAGAAACCCTATATGTGTAAGCAGTGTGGGAAAGGTTTCACCACACAGGGGTCTTGTCGAAAACATGAAAGAATTCACAACGGGGAGAAACTCCATATAAAGAAGCAATGTCTGAATGCTTTGAGTAGGCACAGTTAATATAAAATACATGAAAGAGCCCACACTTTTGTTTACCCTATGTATGAAAGCAATGTGGGAAATCTTTCAACAAACACAAAGAATGTAGTATAATACATGAAGGAAGTTACATAGTTAGAAAATCTATGTATTTAAGGACTGTGGAAAAACATTTACCCCTGCAGGTCTTACCAAATAATTAAAAGATTTTACACTGGAGGAAAAGTGCATGTATGTAATCAGTGTGGGCAAACTTTCACCAGGTACAGAGAATGTAAAATAGATGAAAAGATTTGCATGGGGGAGAAACCCTATGTATGTAAGCAGTGTGGGAAAGCTTTGTCACAAGCAGATTTTCTAAAATATATGAAAGTATTGACACTGAGGAGAAACCTCATGTATGTAAGCAGTGCTGCAAAGCTTTCACCAGGCACAGTGAATGTAAAATTTGTGAAAGCTCACACTGTATTAATCCTTTGTATGTGAGTAGTGTGGGAATACTTTCAGCACACATGATGACTGTCACATATATGAAACAGCTTACTGGGAAGAAATCCTATGTTGATAAGCAGTGGGGGAAAGATGCTGGCTCACACACTTTGTGAAATGCAGGAAAGAATCCTCCCTGGGGAGAAAGTTGGTATATGTAAGCCTATTTTGAAAACCCTGTGACAATTTGTCCTGTAATGGAGACCTGAGCAAGTAACTCATAAAACAATACAGCTGTCAATTTTTCTTCACAGATTTTCCAGGAAATACAAATCCCAGGTGGTACTATCCTGAAGTACATGTACTGTGTCATTTTCAGTAAATCACTTATACATATCTAGATTATGCATCTGTAGTGTTCAATATAGAAATACTGGGATGGCATAATTTTGTATATTTGAGTGTCTCTGCTCAATGCATATTGTCCTTTAATGAAACGTGGTGAACTGAAATGTGCCTTTCACTTAGTACACGTAGTGTCTACATAGTGTTTAAAATTGGGATATATGCCCCATGAAAACTAGTTAGTTTTAATTGTTTTCTGTTAATTGTTGGGATATGGCCACTATGGTTTAAAATTTTGGTAGATAAACTATTTTCAGTGTAACAAATCATATTTCTGAATTTGCTGCTACATTTTATATTGAGATATATATTTTTAGAAGCTTGTGAACATGTTTTTTTTTTTTTGACAAAATTCAGGTGTTGTCTCACAATTTGTAGATTAGCAAATGTTATGTTTCTCTCTTGTGACAGGATATCTGCTTATACCCTTACATCGTTGCATGTTATATCATGTACAGAATGTTGCATGATTCTCTTTCTTACTGAAGCCAGTATCATTTTTAAGTAACTTTTATATTTTCTTATCAAAGTTTTACCTTTGATATTTCCATTGTAATGAATTTAATTTGGTGTTGTTTTTCACCACATGTACTGAAAAATAAACCATGCTGCTGTGAACTGCCCCCATCAGCAGAACCAAAACTTCTCTCCAGGAGCATATCATGAATTATAGTGCTATCCCAAAAGTGTAAATGGTAGTATTACTTATCAGTATCCAGAGTTTGAAAGGATTTTTTTTTTGTCTTTTTGAGACAGGATCTCTATGAGTTCTGCCTGGCCTTGAGCTCATTTGTAGTCTAGGCTGGTCTTGAACTCACAACAATCCTCCTGCCTCAGTGCCCTGAGTGCTGGGATTACAGGTGTGAGTCACCACACCCTACTTGAGAGGAATTCTTGTCAGCTGTGGGTTGGTTTTAGGGAGCATGGTTACTATTGTGTATGCAAGGCAAATGCCTTTCTTTCTGTTCCCTGATGCTATGATGCTATTGTAGCTTTGGTCGTCATAATGTTTACCTAATTGTCCATGGCATTGAAGCAAAACCTAACTCGTAAGGTTTCAGTCAGTTTGATAAAAGGGGAATTTACTAAGTTATAATTTAGGTTGTTTTTCTTTGACTAACTTTTGAGACAGATTACTACAGTGCCATGTCTCATTGTTTAAAATAAGGACCCCTGCCTGATGTTTGCAGTGTGTGCCAGTTCCCTACAAACACATACACTGAAGCCACAATGTGTGCATGTGTCCCAGGTGGTCTATTTCAACTGTATTTTTTTGCTCCCTTTAACGTAGCTGTAATTTTTAAAGTGTTTAATACAGTACCTTTGAATACAAAGGCTGCACAACTCATGATGGCGTTATGTTGTTACAAGCCTATGGTATGAAAACATGAGCACTGCATTAAGTATCCCTAATGCAGTGAGTATAGCTTGCTGTGGTGTTAATTATGGTTATACACATAAATTATATACACATTGTGTAGTAACATCTAACATTATGTCTATTTTTAAAATTTGAAATATCACAGAAGAAAAGACATTGTACAGTGTCAGTCTTTACACCGTAAAACATATGGCCAACTTCCTTGCCTCACATTTCTGCTTACCGTTTCCAGGAAGATGTGTAGTGTGTATTGCTATCCCGTTAATAATAGAATGTTGAAACGACAAGACATTTATCCTGAGTACATGCACTTTCTCATTACTTTGCCCTGAAGGCAAATCTTGCTGGTGCTGCTGATGCATGCTTGCGATCCCAGCAACCCAGGAGACTTAAGTGAGTGAAGAAAAAGTTAAGTGCAGCCTTCTCAACTTAGTGAGAGCCTGTCTCAAAATACAACATCAAGTTCTGCAGATGCAGTTCAGTGCTTCAGTTCTCCTTGGTTTATTCCCCAGTTACAAAACTATTGTAATGCTAATACCCATCAGGGTTGTCCTTTTCTCATGTGACCCCCTTTGCTCCAAGCATCTCTTGGGAAGTGCATTTATTTATGGACTGACTGTACTGAGCACCGTAGGTCAGCTGTCATTTTAACCAGTTGATTCTTGTGTTGAATACATTAGACAAAATTGTCTTTATATTTCCTGCTTTAGTATTTTATACAAATTAGCAAAAATATGTAAATTTTGGTTACCCCATAGTTAACTAATAGGACTGGTAAGTAATTAATATTTAAAAACCTAAGTTAACTGGGATACATTCAACCCCAGGATCAGGAGAGACAGATGCAGTGATCACTGCTTTAAAGCTAACTTGGGAGCAACTTAGCTGCTACGACTCATGCTGCTCCTGAGGTCCTTGGGGTCAAGGACCATGAGACGATGAGAAAATAAAGAAGAGACAAAGCTGGGGCAGGTGGAGCCCTTATCTCCTGATGGGAGGAAAGAAACTGCTCAAGCAATGCAGCATGTTTGTTTATATACTTGGAAGGATGAGTTCAATTTCAACCCCACTACCTAGCAACCCATTGCTTGGATTGTCTAGGGGCTTGGTATTTTTCTGGGGTGTAGCATCTTCTTCACGTGGCTGGCCTGGGCGCTCTTTGTTTTTGGGATGGTAATGTCCCTGCCATGGCTTACTTCTGCACATGG